GGTAGGGTTGACGGTTTAGGGTTTGTGGTTTAGGGTTTAGGGTTTAGGGTTTAGTGGTTTAGGGTTTAGGGTTTAGGGGTTTAGGGTTTAGGGGAGGAAGAGGGGCGAGGATTCTAGGCCTTTGGCTTAGGGGGATATCTCTTGGTGAGTTTTGGGGCTGAGGGCCTTGGACTGAGGCTGTAAAGTTTAGGGCTTAGGGTGGTTTAGGTAGGGGTTCAGGGCTTAACTACGGTTGATGATAGAAGTCCTGCATTACCCACAAGAAGGAAGATACCAAAAGTCCCTTAGTTTAGGGTCCTTAAGGTAATACCAAGGATTTATATCATCAACAGCAGTTTATGGCTTCAGCTTAGAGGGCTCCAGGTTGCTGCGCGCACTGAGGTTGTTCTTCGTGGAGAGGTTTGCATCAGAATGGCCGGTGTCACTCTGGCTTCTTGGCTGCGGAAAGTGTCATCAAGTTGGGGTTGTGGACATCAGGGCCCCTTTTTTCCGGTTGTGTGGATAAGGATTTTGTTTAGGCTTTCGGCTTCTCTATCTTTCTGCAGCTCCTAATGCCATTGGGGTTTCGGGCTCCTCTCGTTGGGCATTATGGAGACACTTCTCTGGAGCAGGGGGCTTTCAGCTTGCGGCTTCGTGTCAGCTTAAGTAGCATGCCGTCGAACCCCTGCACATTACTCAAGTAGTGTTGCATGCATGGTGTATTTATCTATGTATGTCAATATGTCCACTGATGTCCACTTACAGTATCGTCTGTGAGTGAAGTGATCGACGGTAGTTCTTATACAGGTCGACATGTGGTCAGATTGTACAAAATCCCAACATGTGTCAACTGTATCTCTAAGCCATGCAAACCCGGGCAAATTCCGGTCAGGACACCTACCGCCACGGCCAGGCAGGCTTCCTTCGAGTTTAAGGTTCGTAGTTCAGAGTTCCAGGTACTGTAATTGTAGAACTCAGTCTTCAGGGGCCCTCTCTGGCTCTCTGTCTCCGTCTGTTTCTCCGTCTGTCTCTGTCTCTCGCGCTCTTCGTCGCACAGCTTTCTCTCAAGCGTCTTCTTCGTGGGAATATTACTTGGCTTTTCTGGTTTGTCCGAAGCCCTTCTTTTGGAGTCCAGAAAAGTTCCGATGCCACAGGCTCTGCACATCCTTGCGTTGTCCGCTGGGCCCTTCATCCCATCCTACGAGACCTTGTGCCGTGGACGAACATGTCTGCGGTGTGGTCACAGCTTAGTAGGTCTTGGAATGTCCTGCAACCCGTGAACTGCTAAGGTGCGTCCGTGTGAGCGAAGTTTGGGTGCTGCCTCGCACGGTGCTGATGACATCTCTAGCGTTGAGCTGAGACGGTAGGGTACCTCTGTTCATGCCGCATCGAGTTCTGTCCAAATCAAACTGGGGATTCGAAGACAAAGTGACAAGCTAACATGGTTGTAGCGGCTGTAGCGCCCAGGGCCACTATCCCGCCATGAAGCGCATCCTCTCGCTGTTGACCGCAATGCCGGTGGCGAAGTGGCTTCTGCAAAAGTTTGTTCCGGTTTGAACAGACCAAACAGACCCAGGCCCTTTACCCGCCTTTCCCCGACCTCCTGGACCCGAACTCTAGATCGAAGCCTATCATTTCCTAGATCTCAATCCTAAAAACCCAAGTCCCCCAAAACCTTTCCGAGAACACATGGACGCCCAAGCCCCTTGGCAGTACACCGTAAACTGCGAAATCAAAGCGTGATTCTGCTGCTGCTACCGACTGTCGTGATGGCAAGAAGAATAATCATGATTCTGACAACACCAGCAATGATGGATCTGACAAGTAATAAGGAAGCCGCCATTCTCAGCAACAAGCCTACGAACTATGACAAGAAGAAAAGACATGAGCTGCCAGGCTTACCGGGCAGTCAGAAACGCAGGCCCACCTGTGGGAGCTGAGTTTGTTTTAGAGGTTCAGGATTTGTGCTTTAAGGGTTCACTGGCCCATGTCTTGGCAGCTTGTCCAAGTCCAGCACTGTCGCGGCTTTGCAAGGTTTTCCAGAGGTCAGAGCTCTTTGATTTGGGCTCCTTTGAAGCCGCAGGACGACGACACGACGGTTCCAACAACTGCCGAGCCATCCCCGATGACATCACCGCGCGCCAACCAGGGCCTTCGTGGCCTCCTAGGTGCGCAGCTTACCGGGTTACAGAGAATGGAAGGATGTTGGATGAAGTCAGGTTGTAGGCTAGCCTTCTCCGGAGTCGGGGCACTGAACTTTGCTCTTCAGGTAGCAAGGCCAGACTGAAAGCGTTGGAAGAAGATCCGAATTCCCCGATCGACTTGGCCTCCAAGCTGCACAGAAGAAGTGAGGCGAAGAGATAATTCTCATTACCTCCATTATCAGCTTCACCATCGTCATCATCTCGTCATACGCATCCTGCTTCTGATCCTTGTCCTCCTCCTGCTCATCATTGTCATTCTTGCAGTTTTATTGTCATTGTTTTTGCTATCTCCATTCCGGGCTGGCCTCGCGGACCCTCGTCGTGGTCGTCGTCATCGTGGTTGTCGTTGTTGTCGTTGCCGTTGCCGTTGCCGTTGTCGTCGTTGTAGTTGTCGTCGTGGTCGCGGTCGTGGTCGTTGTCGTTGTCGTTGTCGTTGTCGTTGTCGTCGTCGTCGTCGTCGTCGTCGTCGTGGTCGTCGTGGTCGTCGTGGTTGTGGTTGTTGTGATTGTTGTGGTTGTTGTGGTTGTTGTGGTTGTGGTTGTTGTCGTCGTCGTTGTTGTTGTTGTTGTCGTTGTCGTCGTTGTCGTTGCCGTTGTCGTTGTCGTCGTTGTCGTTGTCGTCGTGGTCGTGGTCGTTGTCGTTGTCGTTGTCGTTGTCGTTGTCGTTGTTGTTGTTGTTGTGACAACTGTCTTTAGCTAATGTCCTTGTGTAGCAACTTGCAGCACTCCTTGGTGCTACGGAACATCATTGGCGACTTTGTG